AATTTCACCAATTTGTCTTACATTAACTAATTTAAGCAAGTTGTCTTTCATGAACAATTTAAGCAAGTTGTCTTTCATGAACAATTTAAGGAAGTTGTCTTACATGAACAGTTTTATCTATGTGTCTAACATGAACAATTTCATAAATGTGTCGTAGATAAACAATTTCATAAATGTGTTTCACATGAACAATTTTACTCTAACATGAACAATATCATCAAGTTGTTTTTCATGAACAGTTTAATCAATTGGTCTTACATGAACAATTTCATAAAGGTGTCTAACATGAATAATTTTAGTCTTACATGAACAGTTTTATCAATTGGTCTTACATGAACAATTTCGTCAAGTTGTCTTACATTAACAGTTTTATTAATTGGTCTTACATGAACAATTTCATAAATGTGTCTTACATGAACAATTTTAGTTTTACATGAACAATCCCACAAATTGATCTTACATGAACAATTTTATCAATTGGTCTTAAATGAACAATTTTATCAATTGGTCTTACATGAACAATTTTATCAATTGGTCTTACATGAACAATTTTATCAGTTGGTCTTACATGAACAATTTTATCAATTGGCCTTACATGGACAATTTCATCAACTGGCCTAACCTGAACTGTAAAATCAAAACTGGCCTTGCAATAACTATAACAAAAAACATTCTTACTAGAACTATTATGACATGAACTATTTCATATAAAACTATATCATTAAATTAGTTATACGTGGACAATTTCAACCATAGAATTACAAAAAATGAACATATAGAGGATATTTGTTTAGTTCAGTGTAAGATCGGAATATAATTCACCGAGTGAGCACCAAAAGGTATATTTCACGAGTGGCGCCGCCACGAGTGAAATATGAACTTTTGGTGTTCACAAGGTGAAATATATTTCGATCTCACACTAAACTAAACAAATTTTCTTTTTTTATATGCAAAGAAACGTTTTAAAAAGACATTAAACCTAATACTGAATGAAAAGCGCGCCAAATAATAATACAACGTGACGTCATTTACGACGTCATGTCATTAAGTTGGTACCCAGTTCTGTGCACGCTGGTATTTCACTGAAACAACGTAAGGGGCTTAAATTCAAAACAGTGAAATTATCAAAGTGGTAATTTCACTGTTTCAAACAGTGAAATTACCAGTTTTATATCACTGATATATTTCTATAAACCACCGAAAAGCATGTAATAAAAGTGTATAAATGTAATTATATTAACTATTCCATCAACTGACTTTACATGAACTAAAAATGTTTCTGCTTAAAATGTTTCTGTTATCATTATCTACCAATGCCAAGTTTAAAGAAATTCTATTAAATAGTTTTAATTTTGAATATATGTCTAATCAATATTGGTCATCTACAGATCAACATCTGAAAAGTCAAGCCTTTTGTGTGTGGTCAAGGCAAAATTTAACTTTCACCTGCAGACCCTAAAATCATGGAGCTAAATATACATATTGTATGTATATCTGTGCTAAAATCAATAGGGGTCACCTATCAGCTATGACCTACATCTCCACTGAATCTGGAGACTGCAGATCAGAGAATTCTCTAGTAAATTAATTGGAAGACGTCTGATACTATGAACAGACTAACAGAAGTCCTACCTAACTTATTTTGGTACTCTGTTGGTCTTATTATTGTTTAAGCCACATAAGAGAACCAACTAGCCTTTGTCATTTTACCTAGACTACCCACAAACACTTAAAAGACACATTCCTCAACATCAACTAATATGTGTAAGACAATTCACTCATACATGTATATTCAAAATGGGCATAACTATCTGTGGACAGAACATAAGGGAAGGTCATAAGAGTCCAATTTTAACAACACCTACCCCTTCCCTAAAATCAATGCCTATTTGTTAATTTGAATCAATGCTGGCAGACAAATTAACTTTGACGTTATCAAGCAAATTGGTTTAGAAAACATGCTGGATTTAAAATCACAACCCAAATCTTTGATGAGATATATTCCCCCTATTCAGCTCCACTAAAAGTAATTGTATATTCTATGTAAATATCAGCACTTATGAAATCATATAAAGTTAATATATTTATAAAGCATTTGGTGGGCTAGGTAATAAAATATTTATATAACAACCATCATATAGTATAGATTCACAACAAATAAATTATTACTGTAAGGTAGTGACAAATAAGTGTACAAACAAACAAACAAACAAATAAAAAAACAAACAACTAAAAAACATACAAGCAAACAAGTGGCAATTCTTTTGGCACATTTCTATAAACACAGTAATGTAAAAAAAAATTATTGATCTAATAAAAGCATTTTTAAGTTATGTGTTGAAAACTCAGTACCACTCAAGCCGGTGCTAGGGGGGTGAGGGATGTTGCACTTTTTGTTGGGGTGAGGGGTCCCAACACCAGAAACAAAACTGCTATTTGGCATTTTGCCTAATAAGAAAGGACAATGCATGTCTTTTTTAGCTTAACGTCCTGTTTTTCTTAAAAGAATAACTCATGAAAAATGTCAAACATGCTATATGTATTATATAGGGAATATTATGCAAGTGTGCTATTCTAATGGTTGTATCACTAAATATGAACATGTACAGTTGTATTCTAAAGAGCTTGCAATTATTTATTTCTATAACATACTGTTGGTAGTAAAAATCTTAACAAAACTTAAGGAAAAAAATTTTTCTGATGATACAGATTCCTGACATAAAAATCTAAGCAATACAAAGTGTGCAATACGGAAAAGTTTATCTAGATGTTTTCATTCATATTGACCAGAAAACCTGTATCTATGCATGATTTATCATGAACTGAATTACAAAAATATCTTCAAATTCTGACATCACATCATGACATCACATATGGCATAATACATAACATCAGTCAGGCATAGGGTGTTGAATAAATTATCACTTCACAACAAATAGGTCTGATTAGCTTCTATTACCCCTCTTTCTAAGGACATGTGAACAAGCAATCATTTAGAGCTAACTTTTCATACAGTTCTTAATGCAAATAAAATATTTTGAAATAAATTGCTAAGACACTAAGACTTTAGTACAGATAATAAATATGAGCATTGCAATTCTAAATTGTGAAAAATCAAATAGAAACATATTCAAAATTGGGGGGAGGATGATGTGCATCTAGCATCCTTTAGCATGAATGAAAACTCACACTCACTTTTCAGTCCAGTACTGATTAGAATCCCCCTCCCCCACCCCCCCAAAAAAGCAAGTTTAAACAATTTTAAATGTAAAACACCCCACATAGTTAACTTGAGTTAGCTTGCTAAAGTGCAGTACCCTGAAACATCTATTTAGACTTCAAAGTAATGTTTAAAAGTCAAAATGTTCATATTTTGCACAATTCACTTTCAAAAAATAAAATAAAAAAGTAAAATAAAGATATAAGTGTTAATTTGGGCCCCCTGTTTTTTTTTTCTTTTAAAAAACTCCTTTATACAATTATTCCCTTGAAATCATTTACCCTTACCAAACCCAGTATATTTTCTTTAAAATTTTTATTTAGTCAATAAAAAAACAATACAGTTTTTAAAATTCTATTTCAAAAAAAGATTTATATTTTAAAAGACATTTTTTGTTTTCAAAAAAAATTTATCAAAAATTATTGCATTTAAAATAATTATTATCTTTTTTTAAAATCTAAAAAGGATAACATCATCTTTGGGGTTAACTTATAATATTGATAATATTGTTTTCAGACAAATCATTGCCCTCATAAGACACAGTCACACTGACATTTTTACTATCCAATCATATAACACAGAAGAAAATTATATCAAGTTAAACATGTAGTCAGTAATTTCTTGACACACAAAATTAAATGCTCTTTTTCACTATGACAAATGTTTTCTGTCCATGGTATTACAGAAATTATTTTGACAACATTTTCGTCCATTCACATCCTTACATTTAATACCTATATATATAATTAATTGTAAGAGACATATCACTTTTCACTAACCAATCAAACAAGAGCCATGTCAACATGGCCATCCCCGCGCGAATGTGTTTGCTCATTGGAAGAATGTATATGTAGTAGAGCAGAATAATTCCATTTTTAAGAGGTCTTTTTGGTAATGGAAAACTGATTGGCTATAGTTGATTACAGATTTGAAACCTATGTGAATACTGATGGCTGAAAATAACAAAGGGCAATAACTGAAAAAAATAATGCAGGGTAGGTTATCATTCCTTGTGTGCTGCATCCCTCCTCCAGTACAATCTATCCACCTATGAAGTTTCAAGTTGATACCTCAAATACTTTTTGAGAAAAAAATTGAATTGAAAAATTAAGTATGAAAATAACAATGGGCAATAACTCAAAAATTATAAAAAGTACAGTTATCATTCTTGTGCAGTGCACACCTTCCTGAGTGAGATCTATGCACCTATGAAGTTTCAAGTTGATACCTCAAAGGCTTTTTTTGAGTTATGCTCTGGACAAAAATTAATTTTGAAAAAATAACAAAGGGCAATAACTCAAAATAATGCAGGGCAGAGTTATCATTCTTTAGCACTGCACTCCTCCTCAATGAGATCCATCCACCTATGAAATTTCAAGATGATACCTAAAATACTTTTTCAGATAAGCTCTGGAACAAAATAGCATGAAAAAAAAAACAACAAAGGGCAATAACTCAAAAATTGTTATAGGGAAGAGTTATCATTCTTTGGCACAAACATTTCTCCTCAATAAGATCTATCCTTCTATGACATTTCATGTTGATATCTCAAACACTTTTTGAGTTATGCTCCACTCAGGTGAAAAATTAGGTATGAAAAATAACAAAGGGCAATAACTCAAAAAATTATGAAAGGAAGAGTTATCATTTCTTGTGCACTGCACACCTCCTGAGTGAGATCTATGCACCTATGAAGTTTCATGTTAAATATCTGATAGGCTTTTGGAGTTATGCTCTGGACAAAAATCAATTTTGAAAAATAACAAAGGCAATAAACTCAAAAATCATGCAAGGTAGAGTTATCATTCTTGTGCACTGCACTCCTCCTCAATGAGGTCTATCCACCTATGAAGTTTCAAGTTGATAACTCAAATACTTTTAGAGATATGCTCCGGACAAAAATTTCGGACGGAAGGACGGACGGACGGAAGGACGGAAGGTCGGACGGACGGACGGACGGACGGAGACTATTACTATATCCTCCGCCGAAAATTTTCGGCGGGGGATAATAACAGACAAATATCATATTATTTTGTTATCCAATAATATGACAGACAAAAGTCACATGTCTTAATATTATCCAATCATAATCATATAATCACATGGAATAGGAAAGTCCCAAGGATAACCCAGTGACTTAGATAGTTCAGAGAAGACCATTTGCTTAGTGTATGTTCCATACTGTAGCCCTGAAATAAACAAGAGCATCTATATATTTGTGCACAAGATCCAAAACAGCATTTTTGCTTTAATAGCCAATCAACTATTCAACAAAACCTTATGATGAAGTAGTCACTAGTGTAGAGTTGGCAGTCTGATCTCACTGCATGTTGGAGCCAAACTAGTAGCCAATTCCTGTGCTATTATTACTTACACCCAGTGTTTGACATTAATATTGATGAAAAACTTAGAAAAATTATTCTGAGGGATACACATTTTTTTTAAATGTACAAATGAAGTGACTTAGCTTTCATTAAAAGAAATTACAATCTACAGAAATGGCCTATTTTTTGTCAAAATGGGCTGAAATTTCTCATACTCGTCTAGTCATGGGGTAGAAAATGGTGATTAAACTAGTTTCTTCTGTCATATTTTGCATAATATATTCAAATTTTCACCTGAATTTCAAATATCTATAATTATTTTCAGTTATAAATATATATTTCTTTTGTTTGATATTTTTTTCAAGTAATATTTTACTCTTCTTGAGACATGCCACTTTAAAACTTGAAAACAGGATGAAAAATTACTTACAGATTCTTCACTAGAGCTGTGATCAAACATAAGGCCAAGATAGGCAAGATGAAATACAGCAACACTGCCAAATAACAGGTTAGCTGTTATCACATATGGATGACTCTAGAAAGAACAAGATGCGTTCATAAATCACAAATGATGTATGTTATTGCTGTATGTTGTCACATATAAATGACTCTATTAAGAACAAGATCAGTTCATAAATCACAAATGCTGTTTGTTATCACATATGGATGACTCTAGAAAGAACAAGATCAGTTCATAAATCACAAATGCTGTTTGTTATCACATATGGATGACTCTAGAAAGAACAAGATGCGTTCATAAATCACAAATGCTGTATGTTACCACATATGCATGAAATGGATGACTATAAAGAACAAACTCAGTTTATAAATTTTAAATGCTGTATGTTATCACATATCGTTGACTCTATTAAGAAGAAGATCAGTTAATAATTCACAAATGCTGCATGTTATCACATATGGATGACTATAAAGAACCAACTCAGTTCGAAAATTACAAATGCTGTACTCCAAAATTTTTTATTTCACCCTTAACCAACTGAATTTGTGTAACTGATTTTACCTGCTTTAAAACTTGGGATAGCCCATTTGAGTATTCATTGATTTTATAAGCAAATTCAAAAATTGAGCTACGAACTGGATAGAGCCTTGTCAAGACTGCACGGATGTGCAGGCTAGCTTGGCTCAATACTGGTGGCAAAGGCCTATAATGTTTAATTCCACAAGTAAATTAAAATATGTTGAAATTAAATGTCTAGGCCAGATGAATTTTGTGTCTGAGAAAAAACCCTTTTAGCATATACAAGTAGAACAAAGACAGTATGGCCAACATTAAATTTGTTCCAACAGACATACAGAATGACTGACCAAACTTAACAATTTTTATAATAATATAATTGTAGATGAATTATTGTTGATAATATAAAATGTGTATTTTTATTTTCCTTATTTTCAATATAAAAATTCATTTTTCATTGAAATGAAACATATTTTCCGTATTTTCACTGGTGTCTTACCAGACTTCTTTCTTTTAAATTCTACACAAAAATTAATGGAAATTAATAACCAGAAAATTATTTTTTTTTCTTCTATAAATATAGGATATATTATCCTCTTGTGGTATGAAAATTATCATATCATGAAATACTTATTTTCATACCACTCCAAGAAAATAAATCCTGTATTTAGAGAAAAGAATTGAATATCCTATATATACAATGATCTGTGATTTACTGAATGATGTTAGGACATGTAAATAGCAACATTATACATCAACTATATATAGCAGACGTGAAGATTGTTCTAAGGTTAAAGCTAATTTTGTTTTGATTGATTAGCCACAAATTCCAAGTGACACAAAATAACAGAAACTATATTACAATATTACCTCCCTTGATAAAGTACTGGTAATCTATACAACCAATGCATCGTTGTAAGGAAAATTTTCACTGACATGAATTCCAGGATAAAACCTAAGCATGTATTTATGAGCTTTAGCAGTAAAAGAATTAAGCTGTATAATTATGGAGAAATTTATTTCCTATGATAGCAGAATTATAATTTTTTTTTAAAATTCTGCTTACACTCATAAAATACAATATTTTCAAATAACATAAACTAATCATATACGAAGGGTACATATTATAAGTATGAACAAATTCGAAGTCTATGGTATGTTCTTATTTGGAAAAATACTTTGAATTTAAATATATGCAAACTTCTCTGTATCAGATTATAAGATATAACAAACAAGATGAATTTTATAGATGAAGTTGTACTAATTCCCATATCAATATAAATCAATTAGTAGTTTTTCACAAATAGTTATAAAACAAATATTTGGATTCCTTGTAATTTTTCATGAATTGTTATAAAATATATATATTTGTGGAAGATACTTATTAACCGTTATAAAATACAAATCCTGTTTGTTTTATAATTTGTTACAGAGAATGTAAGATTCATCACACATAACCAAAACAATTTTGTGAACATAATAATGCATGTAATTAAGGGGAGCTGTGGCTAAGGTGTCTATCTCTCAACCCAGGGATCATGGGTTTGAGCCCTAATCAGGTCACGACCATGTTTCTTCATATTACACCAGTGCTGGTTGGTTCCAGGCAGCAGACTCGAAAGTGAGATTAATGTAAGTTGCAAGAACTTGTTTTGCAATCAAGCTTAAATAAATATGTTTAAAACATACATGAAATTCTTTCATTAGAGTGAAATATATTCTATTCTGTCTGAAGAGTTGTGATTACACCAAACCAACAAAATTTCTCTTTTTATTTCTTAATCACTATTATATTTCTTAATCACTCAAGAAAAATCTATACCAATAATTCTACAAATAAAACATTAGAATATATAAGCATTACTTACATATTTATAAGCATGTCCACAGCCTTCTTTACATCTTCTAGCTTTTATACAGGCATCAAATATAACTGACAATTTATTTCTAAATACTGAAAAGCAGAAAAAAACATTATACTAGTATAAGAATTGATTACATATTAGCATGAAATTGAATAAGGCTGAAGATTTATAATAATAATGTAATATCAAGTTAACTAAAAGTGACTGGATATAGTCACCAAACCAGATTTTCTGCAATTTTTACATGCCTGAAAAAAAAAGCACAGGGGCTGCCAAAAATGATCAAATTTTTAACTCCTGACAATTTATGCCAGGGCACTTGGTAACAATTAAACTGTAACAATTAATTAAAAAACAATTGAAAAATGAAGTTGAAATTACAGACTTATATAATATTATGCCTAGGTGCCTGCCTGCCAACCAACATTCCAGATTTTTTCTTTTAAGTGGTTTATGAATAATGCTTATCAGTATGTTTAAGACTTGCTGTTGAATTCACTCAGTTTTCATTTTATATCTGCCTGTTGTCTTTTGAGAGATCTTGATTGAGTGCATAATCATTCCAGTATGAAGTACCACAAGTAACTTCAAAATTTCCCATATAAATTAAATAATTCAGTGTAGACAACCAAAGAATTAGACATTTTGTATTTGAGTGTTTTTTTTTTGGCTTTTTTGTAAAATACACTTCAAGTACAAATGTAATGTTATATTCCAATTCAATTTCATGTGAACAGCAACAATAACAAAAGTAACATACCATATTCTACATAGGTATAAACACCCAGTGATAATAATACAGCTGCTAGTTGAAAATTTAAACCCTGAAATAAATAAATAATTATATAACCATTGCAACACATTATTAAAACAAAATTATAATAAAGAAAAAACAATCAACTTGCAAAAAGAGCAGAATCTTTTTCCTTGCATAAAATATGTAGGGTCTATCAAAACTTTATTTTCTTTAATTGAAATGATTTATCAAATTTTTATAACTTTCTGAAAACTCTATCAAGAATTACAACATGCAAATACTTTCCAACGGAAAAATAAAAATAAATTCATGAACTCAGAAATTAAGTTAATCCCTAATTTGACATGTATAGTATTTCATTACAACAGTAATAAACTTTTAACTTACATGTAAAAGAGCACTTGCTACATATGTAAGAAATATTGCTGCAAAATTTCCAAGTGGACGAGCTGATTTGAAAACATCTGCAAAGAAAAAAGAATACCAATTTCAGAACTTTACATGACAACAGACAAATAAGCTCAAGCTTTTAAGTCACATCAGCACTGTAAAGGTTATATGGCAACTTTCCAGCTTTACTGGTGGGCAAAAACCTCATATGCTCTTTCATGTATTATTTCAGGCACAAGCCATCACCTGAGTAGTAAGCTAGCTTGATAGCTTTGTCAAACAAAAGTATCTAAAGTTCCTAGCGGGATTCTAACCTACAGAGGTTAGGGGCAAGTGATTTGAAGTCAGCAACCTTAACCACTCAGCCATGTAGGTCAAAGCTTTTATCACAATCAAAGATTAAATAAATATGTTTAAACTAAAGGGTAAAATAAATCAAGCAAATGACAACTATATCATTCTGAATTGAAGAAGAAAAGAGAGAAATAAAGATGCTTACAATTTTTAAGCCAAGTATGCATTGGGATGTTCCAATTTGTTACCACCTCTACTAATGATCTAGGTACTTCTATATGATAAGGTTTGCTAACTCTTAGGTCCCTGAAAGTTTAATATTATACATCATTATCAGGTATTCAATATGGACAGAATATTACAAAATATCAATCTAGATCAACATCTTCTAAATCTAAATTTTTATGTATGTGTAGCATAGTAAAATGGCACTATGACACTGATTTCAATGACACTAGAAATTTTAAACAAAAAGTTTTAATAATGATTCCCTATCAATATGAGAAAGAAACTTCATCAGAGACAAAATTCACCCCTCCCAGTTACAGGCTAATTGCAACAGATTCCACCCATGTGACCAGTGCAGACCTATATCAGCCAGTACATCTGTGCCATCTTATCATGGTCTACACTGATTGCTATTCAGCCTGTATATATATTGAAATTTTCCCTAAAAATTATAAATGGTATATTGTCCAGACTAAAAGATGGACAATTCTATTTAAGATAATGAGCTTGTGGACAGGTCTACTAAGGGCACATTTTCCGTAAGTATTTCAAATATGGATATAAACAATTAAAATATATTATTGATATATTATTATGAAATGTCTCTGGCAAACAAACTGTTCATAGAGTTCTAAATTGATTGGTATGAAAATTTCTACAATGAATAACAATATTTTGTTCTTGAATACTTTATTATCTACTATATATTGATGTCGTATTGAATCTCACATTTACCAACAATATTCATATTTAACTTTTTTGTAGTTAGTTTTCATGTAGGATACTAAAAACTATCAACATTACTGTTATTTCAGATTATCCATCACAGACCAATCCACTTTAAATTGATCTAAATAAAGAAAATATAAAAGCAATCTGAATCTGTAACCTACCATCTAACATCATCATTAAGGTGTGTCGCACCAAGACCACATAGTATAACTGTAACCTCAGATAAAAAGCTGACAAAATAATGACTAAACCTAAATGACTGGGCATCTCTATATGCAACAATCCATCTGAAATTATAAATTTACAAAATTATTTCCAAACATGAATATTCCACCCTTACACATTCTATCTCTTAATTTATGAAGTGGACATATCACAGATTTTTTTTCATGAATTTAAACTAGAACATTCTTTATTTTTAGTGGTTGTTGCTAAAATTACTTACAGTCTTTCAGATGAGACTTTAAATCGATGTCCCATGTATGAGTGTTTAATACTTGGCACACCAAAGAAGCAGGAGAAGCTTCTGAAATTGCTGCTTCTTTTTATATATTACACTATCCTCAAAAATCTAAAATAATTGGACTCCCCAATATGGACAACCATTGGCAAGTATAAATAAACTCAAAACAGAAAAATGAAAAAAATATCTTGTTATATACTGTTAGTATAATGACTTCAAAAAGTGTAAGTTAGGTCATAATTCATATGAATGATGTATAATTATTAACTTTTAAAAATTATTTAACATCTTAGTTAACAAGAGCTGTCACAGGAGACAGCCAAGCTCGACTAATAAAATACTGGACGCAGTAAGGAGGACAAAACTATGAAAGAAAAATCAATTATGTATAATTATGTATTAAGTTATAGTAAAAAAATAACATTTGTTAAACTAAATTCCAAGATCAAGGGAAATAATTCTAGAAATAGTCACACTAGAGTTATGAACCTTGTCACACAACATGCATGTAATGATAAGAAGTATATATTTGAAGTTTGAAGTAGATACCTTAAAAAGTAACAAAGTTATAATATTTCTTAAAGAAAATCCTAAGTTCAAAGAGAAATAAATCTGTAAAAATTACTTCAAGAGTTATGAACATTGTCACATAAAATATAATTGATTATAAGGAATAAGTATTTGAAGTTTGAGGTAGATACCTTTAAAACTAAAAAAGTTATAGTAAAAATAACATTTTTCTAGAAAAAAAATCTAAGTTGATGGGGAGATAATTCTTGCAATATTGGTGCTAGAGTTATGAACATTAACACATAAGATGTGGATGATGATAAGGTACATTTATTTGAAGTATGAAGTTGATCCCTTTAGAAATAAATAAGTTACAGTAAAAAAATAATATTTTTTAAAGAAATTCTAAGTTCAAGGGGAGATAAATCTGAAAATATTGGTGTTAAAGTTATGAACCTTGTCGCATAAGATGGGGATGATGATAAGGTACATATATTTGAAGTATGAGGTTGATCCCTTAAGAAAAATAAAGAAGTAACAGTAAAAAATAGTATTTTTAAAGGAAAATTCTAAGTTCAAGGGGAGATAAATCTGAAAATATTGGTGCTAGAGTTATGAAGCTTGTCACATAAGATGTGGTTGATGATAAGGAACATATATTTGAAGTTTGAAGTTGATCCCTTAAGAAATGACAAAGTTATAGTGAAAAATATCTTACTGCACCAAAACTTTAATCTGAAATCTGGACGCCGACGCCGGGGCGAGTAGGACAGCTCTCCATATACTTCGTATAGTCGAGCTAAAAAGCGATCATGTGATGACTTGATGATGAAACTATATGATAGATAAAACAACTTACTTAAAGTTTGTATCCAGTATAAGCCAGTGTACAAGGCAAGTAGAGCACACAACACATAACAGGGCACATATCAAACTAAACAGTACTTTTAAAACCCAAAATACTTTCTGAAAGACAAATATAAATAAGATAACACAATATTACTTTATACAAAGGCCAATCTTACACACATCTTATATATATATTTATATATTAATTCATTTATATATGCATTTGTACTACTGATTTTCATTGGATAATTATGACTTTTTTATTTTATATTATCTATAATTATACAGAGCTGCTATTGATTTATTAAATTTTAATAATAAATTTTCTATTTTCATCAAATCTATGTGCAGTAAAATTAGTTATAAAGATTTTATATACAAACTGGTTATATGACCATGTCTATTATAAAACCCTTGCACAGCTATTCAGGTCATGTAAGCTTACAACTGTTAAAACTTGACCATATTGTCTTTCAAAAACCTTTGTAAAACTAATAAAGTACTTAACTAATTTTCAAATATCGGTGTTCCTATACAAATTTATACATAGGATAATAATGCAGAGGTAAAATATACTATAGATATTTACCATTGGTCTTTTATGCTGAGACAGTATATGTTTATATTCAGAAAAGCTGATCCACGGCCCAAATATAACTGTTCCTACACAAAAATTGTAGCCGAAAAAAGCAAATACACTCGGGAACTCGATCATCACACCTGTACTGAGATCAAACGCAAGCCCTATTATCTTCATAGATAAAATAATCTGTGCCCCTGAAAAAAAAAATTATATAACTTAATGTTGCTTGTTTTTAATGTAATATCCTTCATAGTGCCATAGCGTAATAAAACAATCTTGAAGACAGAACCTTTCAGCTTCCATAGATTCCATATCTATGCTTTATATTTAGGTATGGCCCCCAAACTTGAAACATACACATGGCATTAAAGCAGGATGTCATGTGATAAAAGTCAAGGTATCCACAGAAATTACATAGAACATGTCAAAATATGCAGATATGGCTCTTACTCTATTAGTTCAAATACGGTGATAAAAATAGGAAATGCTTTTGTTTCCAATTTTGAAGTAACATGGAAAGTGGCATTCTTGATATTTCAAAAAACTTCTTTATACACATGAAGGCATGCAACTTTAGATAAATAAAGAATAAATCTAATAATCCAATACAGAGTTTATAATTATTCTGCCTTACCTCTAATACTGTGCCAGACAGTTTTGTCCATAAGAAATTCACTGAAAATAAAAAACTGAATTTATTTAAAGAAAAATACGAAACAATGTATCACATTGAATTATTTAGAATCTGTCATCTAACACAAAAATTATTGAGATGTTTCTACTGGGGGAAAATGTACAGCAGACTCATTTCACAGAATCAACAAAAGCTGGATCCAAATTAAGATCCAAATTAAGAAATGATTTTGTAAAATAGCGAAAAGTTACCCACCAGATGTATTATTTAAAAGTTAAGCTCTGGACTTTTTTTAACAAATTTCTTTTATAAGTCAATGAAACATAAGACACCAGGATGGGGATAGCATAATCAATGTATGTATTGTAAGAGGTCTTCTTGGCATTGCAACATTTGAAATATCTAAAGTCTCACATCAGAGGATTTCTAAATATGTTTTCCGGTACATTGTAACTGTATGGCCAATTACCCTTGAGCTAGATATTCTGTTCTGTACCAGCAGTGAGTCTAAGATTCTTATAGTTCAACACAATATATTAACAGATACTGGCAAGCATTTATAACCAAACATTGTTAAGCAACAAGGTAAACTATGATATACCACTTACCATGCAACAAGGTCAGCTATGATATACCACTTACCAGGCGACAAGGTAAACTATGATATACCACTTACCAGGCGACAAGGTAAACTATGATATACCACTTACCAGACAACAAGATAAACTATGATATACCACTTACCAGGCGACAAGGTAAACTATGATATACCACTTACCAGGCGACAAGGTAAACTATATGATATACCACTTACCAGGCGACAAGGTAAACTATTATATACCACTTACCAGGCGACAAGGTAAACTATGATATACCACTTACCAGACAACAAGATAAACTATGATATACCACTTACCAGGCGACAAGGTAAACTATTATATACCACTTACCAGACAACAAGATAAACTATGATATACCACTTACCAGACAACAAGGTAAACTATGATATACCACTTACCAGACAACAAGGTAAACTATGATATACCACTTACCAAATTACAAGGTAAACTATGATATACCACTTATCAGGCGACAAGGTAAACTATGATATACCACTTACCAGACAACAAGATAAACTATGATATACCACTTACCAGACAACAAGGTAAACTATGATATACCACTTACCAGGCAACAAGATAAACTATGATATACCACTCACCAGACAACAAGGTAAACTATGATATACCACTTACCAGACAACAAGATAAACTATGAATATACCACTTACCAGGCAACAAGGTAAACTATGATATACCACTTACCAGGCAACAAGGTAAACTATGATATACCACTTACCAGACAACAAGGTAAACTATGATATACCACTTACCAAATTACAAGGTAAACTATGATATACCACTTATCAGGCGACAAGGTAAACTATGATATACCACTTACCAGACAACAAGATAAACTATGATATACCACTTACCAGACAACAAGGTAAACTATGATATACCACTTACCAGGCGACAAGGTAAACTATGATATACCACTTACCAGGCGACAAGGTAAACTATGATATACCACTTACCAGACAACAAGATAAACTATGATATACCACTTACCAGGCGACAAGGTAAACTATTATATACCACTTACCAGGCGACAAGGTAAACTATGATATACCACTTACCAGGCGACAAGGTAAACTATTATATACCACTTACCAGGCGACAAGGTAAACTATGATATACCACTTACCAGACAACAAGATAAACTATGATATACCACTTACCAGGCGACAAGGTAAACTATTATATACCACTTACCAGACAACAAGATAAACTATGATATACCACTTACCAGACAACAAGGTAAACTATGATATACCACTTACCAGACAACAAGGTAAACTATGATATACCACTTACCAAATTACAAGGTAAACTATGATATACCACTTATCAGGCGACAAGGTAAACTATGATATACCACTTACCAGACAACAAGATAAACTATGATATACCACTTACCAGACAACAAGGTAAACTATGATATACCACTTACCAGGCAACAAGATAAACTATGATATACCACTCACCAGACAACAAGGTAAACTATGATATACCACTTACCAGACAACAAGATAAACTATGATATACCACTTACCAGGCAACAAGGTAAACTATGATATACCACTTACCAGGCAACAAGGTAAACTATGATATACCACTTACCAGACAACAAGGTAAACTATGATATACCACTTACCAAATTACAAGGTAAACTATGATATACCACTTATCAGGCGACAAGGTAAACTATGATATACCACTTACCAGACAACAAGATAAACTATGATATACCCACTTACCAGACAACAAGGTAAACTATGATATACCACTTACCAGGCAACAAGGTAAACTATGATATACCACTTACCAAATAACAAGATAAACTATGATATACCACTTACCAGGCGACAAGGTAAACTATGATATACCACTTACCAAATAACAAGATAAACTATGATATACCACTTACCAGGCGACAAGGTAAACTATGATATACCACTTACCAGACAACAAGATAAACTATGATATACCACTTACCAGGCAACAAGGTAAACTATGATATACCACTTACCAGACAACATGGTAAAAACTATGATATACCACTTACCAGGCAACAAGGTAAACTATGATATACCACTTACCAGACAACAAGATAAACTATGATATACCACTTACCAGGCAACAAGGTAAACTATGATATACCACTTACCAGGCAACAAGGTAAACTATGATATACTACTTACCAGACAACAAGGTAAACTATGATATACCACTTACCAAATTACAAGGTAAACTATGATATACCACTTATCAGGCGACAAGGTAAACTATGATATACCACTTACCAGACAACAAGATAAACTATGATATACCACTTACCAGACAACAAGGTAAACTATGATATACCACTTACCAGGCAACAAGGTAAACTATGATATACCACTTACCAAATAACAAGATAAACTATGATATACCACTTACCAGGCGACAAGGTAAACTATGATATACCACTTACCAGACAACAAGATAAACTATGATATACCACTTACCAGGCAACAAGGTAAACTATGATATACAACTTACCAGACAACATGGTAAACTATGATATACCACTTACCAGGCAACAAGGTAAACTATTATATACCACTCACCAGGCAACAAGGTAAACTATGATATAAACACTTACCAGGCAACAAGGTAAACTATGATATACCACTTACTAGACAACAAGGTAAACTATGATCTACCACTTACCAGACAACAAGATAAACTATGATATACCACTTACCAGGCAACAAAGTAAACTATGATCTACCACTTACCAGACAACAAGGTAAACTATGATATACCACTTACCAGGCAACAAGGTAAACTATGATATACCACTTACCAGACAACAAGATAAACTATGATATACCACTTACTAGGCAACAAGGTAAACTATGATATACCACTTACCAGGCAACAAGGTAAACTATGATATACCACTTACCAGACAACAAGGTAAACTATGATATACCACTTACCGAGCAACAAGATAAACTATGATATAACACTTACCAGGCAACAAGGTAAACTATGATATACCACTTACCAGACAACAATATAAACTATGATATACCACTTACCGAGCAACAAGATAAACTATGATATAACACTTACCAGGCAACAAGGTAAACTATGATATACCACTTACCAGACAACAAGGTAAACTATGATATATCACTTACCAGACAACAAGGTAAACTATGATATACCACTAACCAGGCAACAAGATAAACTATGATATACCACTTACCAGGCAACAAGATACACTTTGATATATCACTTACCAGACAACAAGGTAAACTATGATATACCACTTACCAGACAACAAGGTAAACTATGATCTACCACTTACCGAGCAACAAGATAAACTATGATATACCACTTACCGAGGAACAAGATAAACTTTGATATACCACTTACCAGACAACAAGGTAAACTATGATCTACCACTAACCAGGCAACAAGGTCAGCTATGATATAACACTTACCAGGCAACAAGGTAAACTATGATATACCACTTACCAGGCAACAAAATAAACTTTGATATAACACTTACCAGGCAACAAGATAAACTTTGATATACCACTTACCAGACAACAAGATAAACTATGATATACCACTTATCAGGCAACAAGGTAAACTATGATATAACACTTACCAGGCAACAAGATAAACTATGATACACCACTTACCAAGCAACAAGATAAACTTTGATATACCACTTACCAGGCAACAAGATAAACTATGATAAACCACTTACCAGACAACAAGATAAACTATGATATACCACTTACCAGGCAACAAGATAAACTATGATAAACCACTAACCAGGCAACAAGATAAACTATGATATACCACTTACCGAGCAACAAGATAAACTATGATATACCACTTACCAGGCAAACAAGGTAAACTATGATATATCACTTACCGAGCAACAAGATAAACTACGATATACCACTTACCGAGCAACAAGGTAAACTATGATATAACACTTACCAGACAACAATATAAACTATGATATACCACTTACCGAGCAACAAGATAAACTATGATATAACACTTACCAGACAACAATATAAACTATGATATACCACTTACCGAGCAACAAGATAAACTATGATATAACACTTACCAGGCAACAAGATAAACTATGATATACCACTTACCAGGCAACAAGATAAACTATGATATACCACTTACCAGGCAATAAGATAAACTATGATAAATACTGAGAGTGAGAGGCCACAATAATCTCGGTTCCTCCAGTTTGTTATCACCAGTACGGCAAAGGCCAGTATACTACACAGTAAAAGATAGAAAAGGTTCCGCTGGAAAAACATGTGCAGGGCAAGAAGTCCAAACATCAAACTTGACAGGTGAATTAGCCATGGTGGAATATCTTGGTCATCAGATCCTGTATGACGAGAGAAGATCATAATGTAGTTATCTTACAGCAGGTACATGTTTAACTTTTTTAAAAATTAAATAGGAACTAACCCATTATTGCTCTAAGATGATGATCATTTTCATTATCTTGCCCGTAGCAGTAATAAGTCATGCAAGTTTATTTTAACAATAATGTACATTTTTATTATAAGACAACATCTTAAAGCCACTGTGCAAAAATGCTATTTATAAACATAGTAACTTTTTATAACAGCTGCTTTTAACTAAACATGCATTACCTCCCCTAGTACATGTACATTACATGTGTACGTATATGCTTAAAATTAGATAAATAAGTATCTTTGTATATGTATAAGCTGATTAAAACCTTTCTGATGCTGATTCTGATTCATTTATTTAAAAGTATTAGACAATTTATGTAAATCATCAGCTTACTTTGCTTATTCCTATAGCTTATCAATTATACTAACTTATGAAAATGGAGCTAAATATTGTAAAAATCAGAAACTTTTTATTTATAACAAACCTGATTTAGAGAAGGAGCAGATCAGTTTAAAAACAAAACAAAGAAGAAATAGAGGGAGGAGATTCTCTACAGTCTGGAAAAATGTTGGTGATAAACAATTTTCCCACAATTCCTTCACTGTTACACGCGACAGTGCCTCTGGTGCCTCCTGGCCATATGCTGAAAATTAAAATGAATGTATGTGTACCAAATGTATATGTAAATATCAAAGAATTACACTTTACATGTATGCAAATAATATTGCAAACCTAGCTTAAATAAAATGTATATTGCAAAAGAAATATCATCTGATGGCCACAATACAGTAAAATATCAAAATTCTGTATTTTGTAGCACATAAACATTCCAATATGGCACAGGCTCTGAGTGTATATTTGTAAACAAGTGAAGTTTGTCTCTGAACTATGACAGTCAGCATATCATGAATACATTCTTAATGCTTCACTTCTTTTAAAAACTAGAAATGTGTCATCATGCCACGGATGCCCCCGCATGCAGCCAAAATTTCAAATGTTATAATATTTAGTTCCAAATTTGTTTGCACAAATTATTTTTTTCATTCTAAGTTCAAAGCCCTTAAAACTTTTCAATGTTAACACAAACCATTTTTATACAATGATCAAGGCACTGAAATTATTCAGTCTTAACCTTTTAAAAATAGCATATTGCATATTTGTAACCAACATAATGGCTATATACATTTCCACAAAAGTATGAGTGCTGAAACTGAAAGTTCAAAATTTTTCCAACATTCAGGAAAGATAAGTTTGTCTAAAATCATTGAACCACGACCAAATTCAAACTTTAACTGCTTATTCCTAAGATGTATCTATATTATTTTCAAAGTGAAAGGGACATAACTCTGCCAAAAAATCATCGAACCATGACCAAATTCCAACTTGACCTGCGCATTCCTTTGACATATCCATATGTCAATTTTGAGTTGAATATGTAACACTGTTGGGTTGATAATGAACAGAAACTGTAAATTTCATATCATTTTCAAAGTGAAAGGGGCATTACTCTGCCAAAAATCATTGAACCATGACCAAATTCGAACTTGGCCTGCGCATTCCAAAAACATATCCATATGTCAAATTTGAGTTGAATGTGTAATATTGTTGGGGAGATAATAAACGGAAACTGAAAATTTCATATTATTTTTAAGGTGAAAGGGGCATAACTCTGCCAAAAATCATCGAAACATGACCAAATTTGAAATTGACCTGCGCATTCCTTTGACGTATCAATATGTCAAATTTGAGTTGAATATTTAATACTGTTGGGGAGATAATAAACAGAAACTGAAAATTTCATATTATTTTCAAAGTAAAAGGGGCATAACTCTGCCAAAAATCATCAAACCATGACCAAATTTGAACTTGACCTGCGCATTCCTTTGACGTATCGATATGTCAAGTTTGAGCTAAATGTGTTGTACGATTGGGAAGATAATGAACAGAAACTGAAAATTTCATATTATTTTCAAAGTGAAAGGGGCATAACTCTGCCAAAAATCATTGAACCATGACCAAATTTGAACTTGACCTGCGCATTCCTTTGACGTATCCATATGCCAAGTTTGAGTTGAATGTGTTGTACCATTGGGGAGTTAATGAACGGAAACTGAAAATTTCATATTATTTTCAAAGTAAAAGGGGCATAACTCTGCCAAAAATCATCGAACCATAACCAAATTTGAACTTGACCTGTATTTTCTCATGACATATCAATATGTCAAGTTTGAGTTGAATGTGTTGTACAGTTGGGGAGATAATGAACGGAAACTGAAAATTTCATATTATTTTCAAAGTAAAAGGGGCATAACTCTGCCAAAAATCATCGAACCATGACCAATTTCGAACTTGACCTGTATTTTCTCATGACATATCCATATGTCAATTTTGAATTGAATGTTTTGTACCGTTTGGGAGATAATGAACGGAAACTGAAAATTTCATATTATTTTCAATGTAAAAGGGGCATAACTCTGCCAAAAATCATCGAACCATGACCAATTTCGAACTTGACCTGTATTTTCTCATGACATATCCATATGTCAATTTTGAATTGAATGTTTTGTACCGTTTGGGAGATAATGAACGGAAACTGAAAATTTCATATTATTTTCAATGTAAAAGGGGCATAACTCTGCCAAAAATCATCGAACCATGACCAATTTCGAACTTGACCTGTATTTTATCATGACATATCCATATGTCAAATTTGAGTTCAATATGTGCAAGGGTTATTAAGATAATGAACGGAAACTGATGATGACGGAAGGACGGAAGGACGGAATGACGGAATGACGGAACAGGGTAACACTATATGCCCCTGCCATTATATGGCGGGGGCATAAAAATGTATTTTCACTTTCCAGAACTTTAAACTGAAACCAAATACTCACAGACTTCTTTAGCTTAATAAATGAAGCTAACTTTTCACATTTCATGTGACTTGTCAATTACAAAGCTTATTCGATTAATTCTACAGAAAAATTCAAGTAAACAAGTGGCAAAGCTAGAAATAAATAATACATATGCAAAAATATATTTTGCACTTTATAATTTCCTAAAATTTTAACTTAAAGGCATCAATGTGCCTATACCAATTGACATGTGATCTACATGGGGTGGAAATATTATACAAACAAGAGGGCCATGATGGCCCTGAGGTCGCTCACCTGTATATAGGCCCCTGGAGCGGGGCCAGTTTAAACCCAAGGGCTTTTATTTGAACAAACTTGGAAGACAGCCATTAGAAGATGTTTCATGATGTTAAGTTTTTACTACACACATATAATGAAAAACAATGACCTGCCCCCTCCCCCTCCCCCCCCCCCCCCGGCAGGGCCAATTTTAATCCAAAGGCTTTTTATTTGAACAAACTTGGTAGACACCCATAAGAAGATGTTTCATGCTGAACATCTAAGCTCTAGCTCATTCGGTTTTTTTAAAGAAGATTTTTTAAAGTTTTTTACTATACACATATAGTTAAATACAATGACACCCCTGGGGCGAGACCAGTTTTGACCCCAGGGCTTTTATTTGAACAAACTTTGAAGACACTTACTAGAAGAAGTTTCATGCTTAATATCTAAAACTCTAGCTATTTGGGTTTTTTTCAAAGAAGATTTTTTAGTTTTTGCAATACACATATAAGGAAAATCAATGACCCCCTGGGGCGGGGCCAATTTTGACCCCAGGTCTTTTATTTGAATAAACTTTGTAGACACTCACTAGAAGATGTTTCATGCTTAATATCTAAACTCTAGCTATTTGGTTTTTTTTCAAAGAAGATTTTTTAAGTTTTTAATTTACTATACACATAAAAGAAAATCAATGACCCCCGGGGCGGGGCCAATTTTGACCCCAGGGCTTTTATTTTGAACAAACTTGGTAGACACCTATTAGAACATGTTTGATGCTAAATATCTTAGCTCTAGCTCTTTGAGTTCTTAAAAAGAAGATTTTTTAAGTTTTATGTACTATATGCATATAGGGAAAATCAATGACCCCCTGGGGCGGGGCCAATTTTGACCCCAGGGCTTTTATTTGAACAAACTTGGTAGACACCCATAAGAAGATGTTTCATGCTAAACATCTAAGCTCTAGCTCATTGGGCTTTTTAAAAGAAGATTTTTTTAAGTTTTTACTATACACAAATAGTTAAAAACAATGACACCCCTGGGGCGGGGCCAGTTTTGACCCCAGGGCTTTTATTTGAACAAACTTTGTAGACACTTACTAGAAGATGTTACATGCTTAATATCTAAACTCTAGCTATTTCGTTTTTTTCAAAGAAGATTTTAAGTTTTTGCTATACACATATAAGGAAAATCAATGACCCCGGGGCGGGGACAATTTTGACCTCAGGTCTTTTATTTGAACAAACTTGGTAGACACCTATTAGAACATGTTTGATGCTAAATATCTTAGCTCTAGCTCTTTGAGTTATTTAAAAGAAGATTTTTTAAGTTTTTACTATATGCATATATGGAAAATCAATGACCCCCTGGGGCGGGGCCAATTTTGACCCCAGGGCTTTTATTTGAACAAACTTGGTAGACACTCATTAGAACATGTTTCATGCTAAATATCTTAGCTCTAGCTCTTTGGGTTCTTTAAAAGAAGATTTTTTAAGTTTTTACTATATGCATATAGGGAAAATCAATGACCCCCTGGGGCGGGGCCAATTTTGACCCCAGGGCTTTTATTTGAACAAACTTGGTAGACACTTACTAGAAGATGTTTCATGCCAAATATCTAAGCTCTAGCTCTTAGGGTTTTTTAAAAGAAGATATTCAAAGTTTTTTCTTTCGGTTGCCATGGCAACCAGAGTTCTGCATGGAATTAAATTCTTTGAACAATTTTTAAAGGTGACCACCAAAGGAACATTCCTGTGAAGTTTGGATGAAATTGGCCTAGTGGTTTATGAGGAGATGTCATTTAAAGTAAAAGTTTACGGACGCCGGACGGACGCCGGACGAAAAGCGATCACAAAAGCTCACCCTGTCACTTTGTGACAGGTGAGCTAAAAAATGGTTTTGTTAGTACTTTCATTCATAACTTTTTTAATATTTCATTATTCTTTATGGGACTAAATGTAGAGCCAACTCATTACAATACTGTGTAAGTTAGTAACACATAGAATGTTTCTAGGGGAAAAAAGCAGTATTTTAGTAGCACAGTGAATTCTCAAGTTTCAGTTAACAGAAATTCCAATGATGTTTCACTTTATCCAACACAGATCACAAAAAGTCATGTGGTAAAGCATACATGCCATAATTTTTACACTCATTTCCGGGACACTTTTCATTTGGAGGAGGGGCATTGATCAGCAAACGTATTTTTTTTTAAAAATTGACATAGTGGCATACAACCGCTATACTGTATTACCGGTATTTACAACTGGCAAATTTAATGACACCATAAACAAAAGACAGAATGTTAATAATTATTAACAGTTTTTCTATCTTTTTTAAGTATTTAGGCATCGTTAATTCAATCAGTCACAGAATAGAATAAAGCTATGTTAAGTAATGACAATTAGCCATGTCATTTACCTGAAACATTCACTGATACTTGTAGCTTTTATCACCTCAAATTTAGAGGTAATTTTCACAGTGTTTGACCACTAATTGCCTGCAGGGGGATTAAATTTATACTGGCCAGTTGTTAATTACAGTGTATGACACCTTCGCTCAGGAAGCCACATGGGGTAAACAATTAATCTTTTAATTAATCAAAATTATTGCCGATAACTGTTTGTTGGAAGGGGCACGTAGATATACCAATCGAAGGATTAGTGTCACCATCGCAATGCTGTTAGGGGATTATTGTTCGTAATTAGCGTTCTAGACTAGTTTATTAAAACTTGACAATAAAATTATATAAAAATGTAAAATTTCTTGCATCAAAGTAGATTATTTAAGATTTTTTTTTACCGGGACATAAATCATCTCCGGGACACCTCCGGGACAGACACCTTATTTCCGGGACTGTCCCGGGCATCCGAACGTTATGGCATGTATGGGTAAAGGCACTGTGAAAATTGGCAGATTAAGGAAAGTATTTACAACATCATGTACCTTTCAGAAGCTCTTCAATCTCTGGACTCACTTCATCTCCGTCAAGATAAGCTCTCAATAAATCTTCATCAATATCTCCCAAATCTCCAATATCAGACAAACCATCTCCGTAATACATGTCTTCCTCCATGACTCCACAGTGACTTCTGTTCACTAGATACTACACAACAGTGAACAACTAAGCCATTGCCTCTGAAAGAAACAAAAACAAATTATATGAGCTGTGTCACGACAAAACCAACATAATGGTTAGCACATCCAAGCTGTTCGCTATCAGTTTCTCTACTTGTAATAGGGTTGGTAAGCGAACAGCATGGATCCTGATCACACTGCGCGGACTGCAAAGTTTTGCCAACTTATGTTTTCCCGAAAAGGAACTCACATACCGCGTTCATGATCGTTTGATGAATATGAATTTATCATTAAGTAAGTACAATTTTAACTGATTCAATTATATACAGTCAAACTTTGTTGGCTCAAACTCGGAGGGCCTGTGCAAAGATTGGTAGTTCGAGCTCACCGAGGTTGAACATTTATTACATAGTACATAGGCATACAGGATTTCTATTTTAAATTGGTCGAATGATTAATACGTCAATATCATTATTTGTGAGTATATTTGTTCTTCGAATATGTCATTTCCTTAAAATATAGAGAAATAATATGAAATTAGGTGCTACCTATGGCGCGGAAAGCTCTTATGATTTATGATTAAGCATAACATGTTTATTGTACATGTTAACCAGATCTATCATGCAATTCGTTAATAAGTAAATGCAGGTATTTTTACCGTAAACAGAAACAAATAAATTGGTGGTGTTCAACCTATCATCAGAAGAGGGACCACTGCGCATGCGTCGGCGTTTGGTTAATCCCGTCCGCCATTTTATGTTAATCTCTAATCACATATGTTGTTTTTACGTTATTTTTAATATGCTAATTTATCAAAAAGGATTTAAAAGTAACTTTCTACATTTATCATCGTTACTATAGTTCTTATGAATGAAATAAATGTTTATTTTCTGATTTTGTACATCATTCTTTCACCGGAAGTGTTATTTAGCATGCGTCTGCTAGCAATAGTCTGAATTAATATTATGTAGACGCTCATTAAAAGTGCTGTGATATCTATATTTAGCTATAAAGGATTTCAAAATGGCGGCTCCCAGTTAACTAAGGAGTTAACTAAGAATTTTTTCACAGCTCATTAGGTATACCGTATAGGATATATAATTTTTTTGAAATTTTCATTTACTTTTAATTTGATTTCATTTGACTTGATACACGTCATACATGTTATCTTAGAGCGCTACAGCCCTCACGGGGCCTTTGGCCCCACTCATACTTTCCGCGTAATATCCCAGTGTTTTCAAGTAAGTATTAACGTATTTCCTTTTCCTTGCAAATTCCTAAAAATTCACAGAATGGAATTATAAATACCGAAATTGGATTTTAAGTGAATTCTCTGACAGACAGATTATATTTAGATATCATATTAAAACATGAAATTGCCAAATTTCAAAACCTAAAATAGTGTGATATTGTTGAGTGTAAGTTTACAGTTCAAGTTATTTGTAATCATAAAATGTGTGGAAAAAAAAAGTTAACAATCATGGTCATAATATGTAGTGAAATGTGTTTAAGCTATAATTTCTCTCATAGTGCTAGCTTTGAGGCTTTGCCTTATTCAGATTGACAACTTTAATCTGAAATGATCAATAAAATAAAGTTTTACACTAAAACAAACAACTAACTGACCGAAAATTAGTTTTGTCCGAATTAAATGCAACTTAAACCACGCCCTAATGTTCAGTATGCAACTATATGCAATGTTTTTAATGCATGCAACCGACAAAACTATTTATAAGAATGCCGCTTAATCCACCAAACTTACGTATATTGATTTCCATATCTAAAAAGGGCAAAATTGGTTTTAATTGTTGTTGTTGTTCACGCCATTTAATTTCTTGGAAAATATCCAAACAATTCCGAAGTCACTGAAGGACTCATACAACCAAATTATCTAAGGTGATAGCGTACCAAATATGTACATTGCTTCAAAGTCGTTGCATAAAATTTTAGTATACGGCTTGTCATTCGCGTTGTTTTAGTACAGCTAATTATTCTCCATGTAAGCCTTCTTGTTCTTTATCATAGTGAGACATGTGGATTCAACACTGCTTGAATTTACTGATGATTATATGTAGACCTGCACGACTTTAAATATTGCTATGATGTATCCTGGAACAACCAATATTCAATCAGTTAAGCTGTTTTTAGCCAATAATAAATGGAAAGAGAAACATTGCTTCAGATTTATTCTATCTATTAAGCATCTACCAACATTTATTCATTTTAAAATATGATAAACAAGATCAACAAGGAAGGGCGGCGTTCAATGAACGCAACCCCCGGGCGATACAGTAACACAGAACCACCGGCAAGGAGCCCAACAGCTAGGACCCAAATTAAAACTAAGTCTTATTAAGTCTGGTATATTTTCAACAAGTCTATCTTGCTTAGAAAAAAGATAAAAATGGTATGACCCACTTAAGTCATTCCAAGGAAATTTTAGCCTAAATTCAAACAGCATAGAGAACACAACTGAAAAATTTGTTCAAAATATATCAGGACTACAAAAAAATTGTAGAAAATTTTCACAACAGTCTTTTCAATGATTTTCAATAGTTTGCTTCACACTAAATGTTATAACATGTGTACAGTACAATGCATTCATATAGGGGCCTCCGTCGCTGACTTGAGATCACAGGTCCCTCACCGCTGTAGGTTCGATCCTCACTCGGGTCGAAATCCTTCATGTGAGGAAGCCATCCAGCTGGCTTACGGAAGGTCGGTTGTTCTACTCAGGTGCCCGCTCGTGCCTGAAATAATGCCGAAGGGGCACCTGGGTCTTCCTCCACCAGTAAAGCTGGAAATAATTCGACGAAAAAATCTCGGCAAGACGCTCTAGGATGGCCCGACTTGAGTGGACTTTCCGGCGGCGACCTTAAATAAACGCATTAAAAATGCATTCATATAGCTACTGTTCATGTGTCAAAAAGGCCAGTTGAAGGTGTCACTTCTTAGTATGCTAAATGGGTTGCAAAATTATAAATGCATTCAACCATCACAGCCATTTTACCTTCGCTACTTTATATTATTACCCAATTTGGACACTTGTCTTGATCTGCCAGCTTATATAACTTACAAAAGATCTATTCTGAAGTCATCACTTGAAAAATCTTGGTAACAAATTAAAATTTTATTAATAAGGACCCCTATGTAAAATCTGATGAATATTTAGTGTACACTATGTAAACAGTTATTTTAATACACCTATAAAGACTGAGGTAAATGGTAAAACTCTGTAGCGAATACTTTATAAATAATCTTACTTGGTTAGTTTGAACTTCTTATCGCTATTATAAAACAAGTGACTATTTTGATATAATTTACATTGTTACACTTAAAAACAAACATTTTATTATTTTTTTTTTTTAAAAAATTCTGACAAGTTAATACAACATGTGACTTTATGCAATTAACTTTGATATGATATCAGAGCCGCAGAATTAAGAATTTGTTTGAATTTAGGCTGTGATTGAAAAAATGGTTGTTTCCAGATACATGTTTAATAAGTTGCTGATTGTCAAACGCCTTGTTAAAATAATAAAGTACCTAACAGTTAGTAAAACTTTCTTATAATAAAAACATGTGGTGACAAGTGATGGATGGCAGCTTTAAAACGTTGCCTCGTATTTGATCAAAGTGATGTTGTTTTTCTAGTCCTTCGATGGATCACCCTTTTTGGAGATTTTTTTTTCTGATTAGCATCAGACTAATATGACAACATGGATGATGTACTGTATTGAAAACTCAATATAAACATTCTATTCTAAGATTTATTTACAAGAGTATTCACAGAGATGTTGCTACATTGCATGTGCAATCTAAACTGTCTATCAAAGAGGGCTCAGAGAGAGAGTTCTCAGAGTGTGCATATTTAATCAAGTAGGCGGAGCTAATCTCTAAATACTAACAACACTACAGATGATTTACGTGATTTTAATGGAAAGATGTGACTATTTAAAAGAACTCCACTGAAAAGCCTATAAACATAAAATTTGAAATTGAAATTCTTACAAAGATCAAGTGGAGCACTTGAGTGTGGAAATCTGCATAGAAAAGATTAAAGAAATATACTCAGAATTTAGTTGAATATTGATTTTTGTTTAATTCTTAGACTATTAGGTTGTATGTATGTAACGGGTCAGTTTACATCATAAAAATATTATTTTGAAAAGATGGGATGAGGGAATGATCTCAAAATTTTCACACAATTGCTATCACATTTAATCTCAGTTTATGTTCTAGAGGCAATAAGTCTAGAAAGTTACTGACTGTCCGTAGTCCAATAAATTAACTTAATGTCTAAACTGTGTTGAGTAAATTTTCAATGTTTACAGAATACAAACAGAAATAAAACAAATTAGAATAAAGATTGAAGATAGAATCTAAATGATACACAGTTAGTTTAAGTATCAAAATGCCAATTGAATGTTTCATTTATACTTGTATTCCATTTTCCTCTGGAGATTTAAGCACATAGTAAAGAATTGTATGATTATCAGCAGTTATATTAAATCCCTGTTTTGAATGTTTGTGCACACCGACAGTTAAAATAACCGAACTCCTTTGTTTGAATGAATGTTCCTTTTAAGTTGAAGCTAACTTTTAGTGGATTATTATGCCACTGTTTAACACTGTTTACACATTTATTCTTCTAAAAAGTCATATATATACAGGTGGTTTTCACTCATTTAGCTAACTTTTAGTGGATTATTATGCCACTGTTTAACACTATTGCCACTGTTTAACACTATTTACACATATTATCCTTTAAATAGTCAGGTGGTTTTCTGTGCCTTTCAGATCTTCGCCAAGAAGTATACTCATTTGATGTAGGTAAAGTTTCAAACATTGTGCTTCCATCGGATTGTGATTCTATGCTCGTTTCGTTGTAAATTGGTTCTGTATTGCTTTGTTCACCCTCGATATTTAAAGGAGAATTTCCATTTAGACTTTGGTCTGAGAGTTGCCGACACGTTTTAAAATGTGATGAATTTCTAGTGATTTGTTTGTCTTCTCGCTCTGCCGTTATCATTGATCCTTTTTTCTTGGTTACTTCATACGGTTTAGGGTCGTATGGAGTTGTGAGTTTGTTTTGTTTGTTTGCTTTACTAACACACTGTCGCCTATTTTAACTTCAGTTTTTCGAGCGTTTCTTCGTTTATCAGCGTATTCTTTCATTTTTTGTTTTGATTTTCTGTCATTTTCTCTGGCCTTTGTGTCATTTTTAGATTTCTTTTGTTTTTGAACCATGGGAATTTTGATGTTATTAGGCCTTCCGTAGAACAATTGTGCAGGAGTTTCGGCCGTTGTCCCACGTGGTGTAGATCTATAATTCCTTAAAAATGCATACATGTCTTGTTTCCAGTTTGTATGGTGCACATGAGAAGCTCGTATTGACTTGCCTATGGTTTTCATGAATCGCTCACATTCAGCATTTGCTTGTGGCCATGATGGGGTTATTTTCCTATGTTTGAAGCCCATATGTGTTTTGCAAAACTTTTAAATAGGTGAGAGTTCATAGGACTGCCGTTGTCTGACTTGAGAATTTCAGGAATTCCGGTTTCTGAGAATATTTTGTCCAGCACAGGGATCACTGTATTTCCTGTTATGGAATTTAAGACTTCTACGAAAGGAAAACGTGAATATTCGTCAATTAGTACAAGCAGATATTTTCCATCTGGAAATGGGCCACAAAAATCCAAACTAATCATTTGAAATGGGTATTTTGGCATATCACTCATGTTTAAAGGTTCATGCTGTTTTGAATTTGTTGCTGCTAAGCACGGAATGCAGCTTTTGCACATATTTTCAACTTGTTGATCCATGCCTGGGAAGTACACTTTCTCTCTTAAAAGTTGTTTGGTTTTAACAATTCCCTGATGACCTTCATGAGCTAATGATATCGCTTAATCTTGCAACTGCCTAGGAATAACAATTCTTGATTCATGCAGTAAGATTTCACCTCCCTGGAGATTTACTACCGATAATTCATTCTTACAGCGAGAGAACGTATCAAATACTTTATTTTTTATTGGTGTTGCTCCAACAACCCGTCTTTATGGATTTAATGGCCATTTGGAGGTCATTGTCCGTAGAAGTTGCCTGAATAATTTCATTCATATTCATTGCAACAGGTACATCATGATATGCAAGAAAACTTACATATTCTTCAGCTATGCTTGATTTGCTGCCTTGTCCTGTGTCTGGATGTCTGCTTAGATAATCTGACATGTTTGACTCTCCAGGTTTGTGCACGATCCTGAAGTCATATGACAACAGGCGCAAATGACATCTTCGACGTACTGCAGAATACAGGGGATGACTACGAATCAGCAAAGATAAAGCTAACAGAGTACTTTGCCCCCAAGAAAAACACAGAATTTGAGATATATAAATTTAGACAGGCAAAACAGGAATCTAATGAAAACATTGATAGTCTTCACACACGTTTAAGACACTTAAGTATAAACTGTGAATTTTCGGAAACAGACAAAGAAATTAAGTCACAAATCATTCAAGGCTGCACCTCAACTCGACTGCGTCGCAAAGCACTACGCGATGACCTGACATTAGACAATCCCATCCTCGTCGCCATTGTACTGTATTGAAAACTCAATATAAACATTCAATTCTAAGATTTATTTACAAGAGTATTCACAGAGATGTTGCTACATTGCATGTGTAATCTAAACTATCTATCAAAGAGGGCTCAGAGAGAGAGTTCTCAGAGTGTGCATATTTAATCAAGTAGGCGGAGCTAATCTCTAAATACTAACAACACTACAGATGATTTACGTGATTTTAATGGAAAGATGTGAGTATTTAAAAGAACTCCACTGAAAAGCCTATAAACATAAAATTTGAAATTGAAATTCTTACAAAGATCAAGTGGAGCACTTGAGTGTGGAAATCTGCATAGAAAAGATTAAAGGAATATACTCAGAATTTAGTTGAATATTGATTTTTGTTTAATTCTTAGACTATTAGGTTGTATGTATGTAACGGGTCAGTTTACATCATAAAAATATTATTTTGAAAAGATGGGATGAGGGAATGATCTCAAAATTTTCACACAAGTTATTGGTTCAGACTTTCATCAAATCTAAAAGGTAGACGACAACGATTTATCACTTTGACGGTTTTAGTCAAGCACGTGTTTCTCACTTCCGGTGAAAAAGAAAACACATTTTCCTGAGAAATGTCGTTTTTTATCAAAAATAAGGGAAAACAATCCCAGGTTTGGTTTTATTTCAATTCAGTGTTAAATTTAGTTACTTTTATTTCACAGACTGCCAGAGATCTCTGATTACATTCATCGTTTTATCAATTTAGGAAGTAACCCTATTTTCGGATGAACTTAGAATGTTGAATTTTTTAGACGTTTATTTTTCTTATTAACTTGATGACTTTTAATTTTCACTTTTAACAAAAATTTCAAAATCATACAAACATGAAACTCACCCCATTACCTTTATAAATATAAACAACCAAATAAACAGCAAATTCTACATTGAATATCGGTATATTTATTCACGAATTCGAAAACCTAGCTAAACGCCGTTTTCCGGTACTTTCTGTACATAGCTCTGGGGAATTCACCCAATGGAGTGTAATAGCGAACTCGATGTTTTCGGCCTTTTTTAAAATCAAATTGAAATAAAGAAATTATTTCTTTATAAGAAAATAATTAGATATCATTGTATGAATAATTCCATACAAAAAATAAAGTAAATACACAAGTTAACGCAGAAAATAACCTTATTTATTATGGAAGATTCCACTACGTCTGTTTAAATTATATTGATTTTCATTATAAACAATAATTTTTTTGAATAATTTGGAATAGATATTAAAGGAATATTGATAATTTTCAAAAACATCAATTTTTTTAACTTAAACGGTTAAATAATGATAGAAAAATCGAAATATCACGTAACTGTGTTATGTACTTCATTTGATGTAATTCCCCAGAGCTAAAACGGTAACGTACCGGAAAACGGTGTTTAGCTAGGTTTTCGAAAAGGTCAATTAGTTCTGGCTTCCAAAACTTTATAATATAAGCCACTATTTAACATTTTTGTTTTTCATCTAATGCGGCATTAGAGTTTTTGAATAGACCGGTTATGAAACCTAACCAGAATAACATAAATTGATTTAACCTTATTTTTCACTTGCAAATACACTTGAACAAATCAATTCTTGTGCATTTTACGATAAAACAATTATTTCAATATTGTTCTATACCAATTAAATTATCAAAATATTAATACTGTCATTAAAATTGCATATTTAACTGTAAAACTTTAATTATGCCGACTACAGTCGGCCATGACATTTAGGTGTCCAGCGAGACCTTGTATGACGTCATTTGCGGTAACAGATTAGACTAGAGTCGTGTACTATATTTAGAACATCTTTGTTGACATGATTTCAATATTTTTATTCAAGATAATGTTTTTATTTATATTCATTATTTTTTTAATTCTTAAATATGATTTTATTGAGTACAAAAGTCAGTAAATCACCTTTTTCAATATCTTAAAAAAAGTAATTTATAAAAATATTGGAAGCACATGGGTTCGTAAAGGTCAATCTCGTAATCACGTGGTCAAACATTTTGGCAATATGGCGGCCAAGTGCCGAAAATTTTACCTGTCGGAAACTCTTAGGTAGTTTATGTTCGTAATAAGATTTTTATTTGTCCATCCTTGGCTTATCAACAGATTATATATAGTTTATCAAGGTATGCTTCACTTTACTTCATGGCATGTTCGATGAATGAATACGAGCGTGTCAGATTCCTGGCACAATTATTGGTGGACTTTCCCTACGGGGTTATCTTCAGCGTTCACGTCATGTCATAGTATATAAACGGGTACGCTGAAGACCTTAAGCTTTATATTTATAAATTGAAAAATCTTTAAATTTGTAGACTATCTATAAATTTATGGACAGTCCATAAATATCATGATTTCTTACAACGATTTTTTCCCTGAATTGTGAATGGGTCCAGTACCATAAAAATTCTGAAAAAGAAACGTTGTTTCTTTACAGATTGTGAATTTTTTAATTAAGATTGTTAATATCTAGCTTAAGGTCTTCAGCGTACCCGTTTATATATTTGTCTATGCAGAAGTAGAGTTAATGACCATTAATGAAAATTAACAAGAAGTCCATATTCTTGATGAAATCTTATACCTATTGGAGAAGGCTTTGCTATGTTGCCGTTCTAATTTCATAATAAGTTTTTTTTTAAAATATAGACTAAGAAGAAACAAGGAGGGAAAAAAAGACCAGCTGAGGCACCCAAGAAAGGCGCACCACACCGGAAGAAGTTTCATGGACTAAATGAAGAAATTGAGAGTGACTCTGAAGAAGAGTAAGTAATCATTAGAAAGTATTTATGGAATAATAAATGAATGTTCATTTTTGAAAAGTTGTAACAATTGAGTGGATTTTATGTAGTCTTATTGTAATATTCTCCCATGCCTACAGGACTGTGTAAACAATAAGATTTACTAATTCTAAAAGAATAGCACTCACATGTGACTATCCTTTAATTAGGTTAAAAATGATGAATACAGTTGTTCTGTAATTTATTCCATTGAACAGGTAAATGAGTTGTTCCATTTGAAATTTTGTAATTTCATTCCAAGAAAATAAGGTGGTTAGGTGATTTGGAAAATTTGACTGGCTTGAGTGACTGAAATTCTTCAAGCTGTGCCTACCAGTCTATTTAAGAATTTTTCTAAACTTTCAGACTAATAATGTTATAATTCTTCAAGCTGTGGCTACCAGTCTATTTAAGAATTTTTCTAAACTTTCTGACTAATAATGTTATAATAGAATCTATAGACAGCTGTGAAATACAGACAATATATAAGGATATGAATGCCAGAATGTACAAAAGTAAAACAAATTTATCAAGACATTTTAATAATCTGTGTAGATGACAAAGTTGTTTAGTGTTTACACAATTTGTAAATATTAAGTAATGATTGGTCAATTTTAGAGATCATGTGACAAAGTCACATAACCAGGGATATTCCTCCTCAGAATCTGATAATGAGACAGCCCAAGAGAAAAAATTGAGACTTGCTAAACAGTACCTGAGACACATAGAGGCTGAAGGTATAAACATTACACTAAATTTAATTCTTTATATTGTGATATATGTATGACTTGCTTACTGGCCATGCAAGATTGTACATGTAATTTTACCAGACTACATGCAAAGTTTAATTGCACAGTTCTGGTATTTTTATGTTGAAGTTTATTTATCAATTATTAGTTCCAGCATCAAAGAAAGGTTAAGTCCGTTACACAAACTTAACATGGTAAAAATTAAACTAGGAATAAAAAGAAATGGTCTGTCAAAACAGTTTATTTCAATGCCCCACTTTGTGGGAGGGGAGGCATATAGATTTGAACTTGTACATCTGGCTCACTGTTAGGCTGTCCATTCATAGACTGACAAAGCAGTAGATTGTGGAATTATCTGTTTGATGTTTTTCTATGATCATATACTGATGTTTCTTATTTATAAGTCACTTAAGAACATTTGTCTATTTCATTTTATATGTTTTACTTGTGTGCTTTGCTTGTTTTATTAGTGATAAATTTCAGCATTCAAACCTGTACTGTGTACAGAAATTTATCAATTTTCGAAAATTTCAATTTCTGTTGTGTTCCTTATATAAAATGTTGCTATACTCGTGCAGCAAGGTAATGTTCTATGTTTCAGAGAGGGACAATAATATAGATGATGAGGTAAACAGAGATGCTGTATCACATAGGCTTAAACAAGATCTGGTATGTTTGCTTTATGATGTAAAACCTTTTATCTCAACTTATGCTCTTGATTTTCTTTGCAGACTTTATTATATAACTTTATACAGTATGTAAATGGTGTCTATAGATGTATTCAGTTTGATAGGCTTTGCAAATTTGTACCTGTTGGTTCCTTATGTAGCGGTTATTTATAAAAACTTTGTTCCACTATGTCATTGAATTTGACCTTATAACCGTAAATATTTTGAAATTTTCCCTATAAAATGATTTATGGTTATGTTCAGATTGCAAGATGGAAGAATGGACAAGTCCATTTAAGATATTTTGTTAGGGGTTAAATAATTTTAGTAAAAGATAATGAAAAAGTGAAAAATTTAAGAACCATAGCGATGGTAATGGATGTTATTAATAAAGTACAATTTTATATACTTTCAGCTAGAACAGGCTGGAAAATTACAAAAAAAGTTGGCTGAAAATGTAAGTTTTCAATTTTGTAATACATTTCATTTTATGATTAAATAATTTTGAGTTATCAAATATGTTACTATGAACATATAACGATGCAGAAAAAGAAATCAATATCAAATATGTACAACAAATATATTGGGCTGAAGATATTGCAACATGCAGAATATTTTTTCATTTACCTCTGTAAGTATTCACTTGAAATTACATACATCAGGTAATAATTCATCATTTGAGCAGTGTCACGACAAAACCAACATAATGCATTTGTGACCAACATGGATCTAGACCAGCTTTCCCATCCGCGCAGTCTGATCAGGATCCATGCTGTTCGCTATCAGCTTTGCTAATTGTAATAGGGTTGGTAAGTGAACAGCATGGATCCTGATCAGACTGCGCAGGCTGGTCTGGATCCATGCTGGTCGCAAACGCATTATGTTGGTTTTGTTGTGACGTGGCTCATTTATTTAACCAGGACTCACTTTTGACTAAAATGTAGAATAACAGTGATTTTTCACCTTATATATTTTCCAAAATCAAGTGGCTAAGGCCTGTTCCTAATTAAGTGAGAAGAAACACTGGCTAAACCATTTATGAAAATATAGCTTCAATAGTCTAGATCTTTTGTTTTCTAGGTCTTACAATAAAGTTGACAGAGGCTTGATCAATAATACAATATTTTGAATGCTGATTCGTAATATTTTATAAGTGTAATACAAGAATACTTTCTGCAAAGTACATAATAATGATATTTATGTTCTTTTGACTTAAATTGGTGCATGGTTACACATATTGTAAGAAAAACTATGTTAATATTAGTATTTATAAATAGCTCAGTTATATTCTTCTATTTGATATTTTCAGATTGTACCCCCTTCACAAGAAGATTTGATATTGTTTCGAGGTCACCAGCTGTCTGTAACATGTGTAGTTATCTCCCCTGATTCTCAATTTGTTTACAGTGGATCAAAAGATTGTTCAATTATCAAATGTAATTATAATAATACGCCTCTAGACTGTATATAGAGGATATTTGTTTGTTTGTGTGTAAGATGAAATTTTATTTCATCGAGTGGGCTTTAAAAACAGTATTCTCACGAGTGGCGTAGCCACGAGTGAGAATACTGTTTTTAAAGTTCACGAGATGAAATAAAATTAAATCTTACACAACAAACAAACAAATTTTCTTTTTATTTTATGCTAAAAAACAAGTTAAAACGAAATTTCCATAATATTAACGTAAATATTAAAATCTGTTTTCCCCATTGAGAGCCCCATTTAGTCGGAATTTCTCATTAAAAACAAGAAGTCTTGAGCTGTAAAATAAGTCCGACAATCAACGTTAAATGACAGTAATATTATTTATTTTGTTTAAAAAATATGAATTATCGCTTGTTTTAATAATAAAAACAAACAATTCTTGTAGGAGAAAAATTCCAACCATCCATCCATATTTCTGTTACTTACTGCGTATTTATATTAGACCTGGCTTTGTTAAATGTAAGCGGCAGCCATTTTTTAAAGTTGTGTATTTCACGGGAGGAAAATAATTGTGTTTGATTCAGAGGGATATCATTTGGATTTGTTAGTCATACACCTTTTAAAAAGAAAGAAAACATATTTGAGGATTGAAACAGACAAACAATAAGTGTTGACAGATGTGAAAACATGAAAAAAAGCAGCTATGAAAATGGAAAACTTGGAACTTGCTCGGAACGCTGGGTGGTTTAATTGTTCTACGAGGTGATAGCTGTCATTGCTTTTCAATTTTTCATAAAGCATACGGCAGTTATTGCTCGTAGGATACTTTAATGTGCCGAAATGTCACCAAGAGCAGTTTGCATGTGGAAGGAATGTATTTGTCAGACTGTAAAAATGGAACAAAAAATTTAGAGATGAATCATGAAATTTGGTGATTGGAATTTGAATGAATAGAAGCACGGATTTATATTACAGGGATCGGACACTCCCAGTTAACCCTATATAAATGCTTAAATATCTTGTCGTGCACCCGATAAAGGTACATCGATCGATAATTTACCGGCGCGAAGCGTAAATGCCCGTTCGCAACGGATACCTACTTTACAAAATACCATATAGCTTTTTCATTTATTATCCGATTTTGGAAATTTAAAGTTTATTTTGAAGAAAAATACTTGGTTAATTCAAATATCTAATTTATTTTTTAAAGGTACAGTTTATCTGTCCGCAACGATGGTTAAAAAATTAACTTGACGAAATCCGCGGTAAATTTACATTTTTTATATAAAAAGCAGGTATTTGAAATTTATTATTTCGGTACCATAATACTTTCAGTTTCAAAACAAAAAAATGATCAAAGATACAATATTTAAGATTTATTGGGTTATGTAGATCTAGTCAAATTTATTAACGCACAATTGTTTTACGGGTAATGTATTGCGGCCTTTACACGTGAAGAAAATTTATTCATTTTTTAGTACAAAATATTGCCGAGATTGTCAATATTGCCATATTCATAGAATATCTAAATTTCATTCATCATTTATATCATTATTATTTTTTGTAAATCTGTTTTCAAATGTCGGTGCAGTGAAGTAGACAATCATCGTAACAGTAAAGTTCTCTCGTGTGGCTGTCTCGATTCCGGCCTTTTAATTCTTTTTATTTGAATGCCTGTAGAAAGATATTTATTATACTTTTTAATGTAACGCTAGAAAAACAATAAAAATCTTTACAGTATGAGTCAGTATTTTGCGAAATAAAAGTAACTGTTGATTATTTTTTACACATCGCTTAAATTTCTTTCAAGTTTAATTATGTTTGAAGGGGGGTAAGTGATAATTAAAAAACTTTATTTCCAAACTTTCATTACAAGGTTACATGTGATAATTGCAACACTCAATCTTTAAAAACAAATATAATTTGAATGTATATTTTGTATATGCGCGGTCTTTAACTACAGTCCATGGCATATATGGTAAGAAAATGATCCTGAAGAGGATATATATAAATACAATGTAAATCTATTTTCTTTATTAACATTTATCTGGGATATACGATAATCATTTATAAATGAAATTGAAAATATACAACTAAATTTGTATAGTCCTTTCTCTGAAAAATAATGAAAATAAACATGTGATAAATAAATCATTTGATGTGAATTGTTTAGGATATCTATGAAAAAATTATGTTTCAAAATAAAAAATAATATTATAATACAGCTGTTCTCTATGCCAATAAAAGTTTCTTCCTTGCCAATCTAATGAATTCATCTATATATGAATGTTTGTCTAGAATGATCTGAAAATATATTTAATACACTAATAATTAGTAGAATATTTACTATATTTATACTAATATACAGGTCATCAAATAAAAAATGTACAAATCATTTGGAAATAATTCACAGAAATAAAGACACATTTCAAACATGAATTTCTTTAAAAGTTTTTTAGCAATCAAGAAACATTTTTTTTCCAATGCCACCATTAAACCATGTAAAAAATAATTATCTTATTCTGAATCGCGGTAATAAATCGTGCTTGAAGTAAAAGGGCGGCAAAGTGTAAAGAGTATGCCTAAACAATAGGCGAATATTTTTAAAATTAGGTACTTTTTAACTAAGCGTTGCAGCGTTCTATCGGCATATTTTCATATATTAATACTTTAGCGACACAAAATAATACTGTATCAATACATTCATATGTGTATAATTTTTCACAAAGCTGCAATAACACCACATACTCCGGTGAAAATCTGTCATATTTCGTACTCCGCACGTTCCGCCATCTCATTCTGTTAACCTTTATCCGATTCCGCGCATGCGCGCGACGGGACTTTAAGCTAAACGAAAGTGTCCGATCCTTGTAATATAAATCCGTGATAGAAGTAAGTTTTCTTCTTTTTATTACTTTTGACATTTAAGTTGATTATCAATTTCAGCTTTGCGTTTTCTTTAAACAGCCTGACATTGTCAGAATTGTTAGCAAAAATAAAATTGAGGTACCACATGGGAAAAATCTAAAAAAAGTAGTTTCGTCATTGAAAAGTGTGAAATTATATTTTGATAATTTTCACTGTGAAATTATCAAATATAATTTTCACGGATAAATCAGTAATCCACTGAAAAGCATAAAATAAACTGTTGTTAATCTTATATTTATTTGTTTCATGTATATTTACTGAATTTTGAAAATGACATGCATGCAATCATGATTGTGACGCCATGGGACTGTTTATTGTAAATTTTGATTGTCATTCGTTTTGGAAAAGAACAAACCAGGAGTTTTGGAGACTGTTAAAGGGTTTCTATAATCAACCTCTCTAAACAACAACAACAACAACATTTAATTAAGCGTTACATGTACCTTAATGTAAGGCATCTATTGCCAATACATTTACAAAAAACATGATTAAAAAAATGATTTAATGGTATACAGTCTTGCTGTATATTTCATACTGCTGCTGTAAACATTTGCATGTTACTATATTTTGTATAAACAAGTAGGCGACAAAATTAATAAATTCCTCAATTCTTCATGATTTATTATAAGAAAAAATACAAAGTCACATCTTATATTTTCTGTGTCCTTAAACATACTGAATTTATAAAATGAGCTTGCCCTGCTTAAAATTTGGAACAGTCCATTTAAAGTTTAAGGGATTTTAGTATTAAAATACAAAAGTTGAGTAGCCAACAGTAAAAGGTATACTTGTGGCAAAAACTTTTACATAACAACTATGTTATTTCTGAACTGTTATATATACAGGGTCATTGAAAGAGAAGAGAAAGGTACATGTAATTCACGGGGGACGTAAAGGTACAGAGAAGAAACATGTGGGACATACAGGACATGTGCTGGCCATGGCATTATCATCTGATGGAAAATATCTGGTAAATTTCCTAGTTTAGTTTATACCTTGGTTAATATAAGGAGGATTGGGACCTGAATTTTATATACATTGACAAAAAATGGCCAATTTTTATGTCCTCATGTACATTGCCCTTTTGTCTGTCTGTCCTAATGTCAAGCTGTCCATATATGTTGGGACATCCTATGGACTGATTTCTAGTTGTCAAAGGTTTTCAGTAGGCATTTTATTTGTATTGCTTGTATATGTGGTCTATATTACCCTGATTTATTAAATTGATTAAAAAAGTAAAGTTTGTTAGTCATTGGAAAAAATATTTCTGACATAAGAATAATAAAAAAACCATAAAAAATAATAAAATAAAACAACAACAATGGCGAAGCAGTGAGCCTTTTGAAGTTTTTTCGCTTTGATAAAATGTTTTCTGTATGTTCAAACAGGCTTCAGGGGATGCTAACAAATTGATACACATATGGGATGCTGGCCCCATGACATTGTTACATACATTTAAAGGACACAGGGATGCTATATCTGTAAGTGATATTGATGTTTTGTTCATACTTATTGTCAAAATGGAGTCTTCAAGGGAAGGCAATTTATGCTATACCTTATTGGATAAAATTCCAAATATCCTTTCAGTGGTGATTGGAGAAACATTGAGTGTAACCCATTAATGCACGCACCTTGAGATAAGCTAACCAAGTGTTAAAATCAAAGGCAACAAATATTCAAAAGAGTTTTAGAAATGGAAAAATGTTCATTATCCGTATAAGATTTCTCTCTTGTATGTTATTTGCAAAATTTGGCAAAATTTATTACATAATGATATGTACAATGTATTTTTCCCCCTTTTACTATGAACAAGTGGTAATTTTTTCATATTTTGACATTTTATTTTTTGTGATTCAATTTAATTCCATTTTACATTTAATTGTTTTGCATGACAATATCATGAATATGTTTACTTAAAAAAAAAGCTTCCGAAATTTTCATAGAAAAATAGCAGGCATGCTGCCTTTCAAGTTAATTTCACAATGCATGAAAAAGATTATGTGTACTGAAGATTAGGTCTGTCAAACCTTATTGACCAGGCCAATATTTGTTCAATATCAACTAGTCCATGATAAATGCAATTTTAACATTAGAAGAACACTTGTTATATCCCTATGAAAATATGTGTTTTATGATAAAATTGTATTTTTACTTGGAATATATACTATATGATTGTTCAAGAATTTAAAATAGTTAACTTTCTGTACTGTCTTCTATTACAGGGCCTTACTTTCAGAAAAGAAACCCATCAGTTGTACAGTTGTTCTCATGACAGGTCTGTTAAAATCTGGAATGTGGATGAGAGAGCTTATGTTGAAACATTGTAAGTGATACCATCCTTTATTTTGTTAGAACTAAATAGATAGATTATATGCAATATTGACATTATGAGAGTCTGGAAAAATGTAAAATTTCCCATTATACTTAAACTTTATTGCGGGCTAGTAAAGCTCAGTGTTTGCCCCATGGTCCTCCAATAACAATTATGTTATTGCCAGTTGAGGTTTCTATTATAAAATCTAGTTATTTTGACTTTGACCTGTAAACCCACCTTTTACACTCTGATTGGCATGATTCACTATAAAGGCAAGAAACAGATATATAGTAACATGTATTTCTTAAATAAAATAATACCTATTTTAAAACATTTAAGTCCTAAACTAATTACAATGCTTTGAGCATTTCTAAAAATTTTCCTCCAGTATTTGTTTTCAATAAATGGTGAAAAAGTTGTCTTTGTTGACAGGTCATCCCTTAACTTGCTAAACTTGTGTATTGATTGAATGGTCCCAGCTTTCAATTTAGAATAGTATATCCAGTGTTTATGGGATTCACTTAATATATTAATAATTTGAGCTAAAATCAAAGAGCCTGTCAACTGCCTATCCCCCCGGGTTAATCCTTAGCTCAAGCAGGTTGAACTTAAAAAATTTTATTATCTTTGAATATTATATTGTTAAAATATTTTAAAAAGAAGAAGAGAGTACAGGTTTGACTGTATGTACATATATAACATTTGAATTTAGGTTTGGGCATCAGGACAAAATCACTGCAATATATAGTTTATCACGAGAACGGGCAGTAACGTCGGGTGGTCGCGACAGTAGTATCAGAATATGGAAGATTATAGAAGAATCACAACTTGTCTTCAATGCTCATTCTATGTATGTATTACCTATGTTTTATAATGTGTGTACTTGTTTGGGATCAAATTATATTTATTTTTTACAGTTTAATTTTGGCTTTATATAAATGGCCGTTTGCATAGGGGCTTTTGGTTTAAATAAGGCTATATAGCCTGTCAAGAATCTTTGTAACAAATTTATAACACAGCAAACATCCTTTATTGGAGAAAATTAGATATTTAATACTTCATAATTTGACAGCAGGCTTGTATATACTATATTGTATATATTAATGTCATGATTATTTAATGAGAAAATTGACAGTATAATAAAGATCTGATAATGTATATTGTTAGAGAGCTCTGTAACTTGGTGGTTAAATTTACTGACTTCAAATTACTTAACTCTCACTACTTCCGGTTAAAGTGAAACTATTAAGCTAGTATTTGGATGGGGCACATGAATGGCTGAAAAAAAAATGTAAAAAAGAGGCACTTGAATGTCTGAAGCTTAAATGTCCATAAAGTTTAATGAAGGGGCACTTGAAACCCTTCTTGAAGGGAATCCACAACTGTTCAAAAATGTAAGTTTTGTTTGTTTCAGGTGTTCAGTGGATTGTGTTGCTTTGATAAATGAAGCAAATTTCATCTCAGGGGCTGATGATAAGTATGTTGACATTTACTTTTCCTATTTTATATACTTAATAAAATAATACTGTTGTGCAACATACCTCAATTGGTGGATAATTATCAGTAACCTTATTCCTGACAGAGACTATTAAGTGATTGAAACAAACAGGTATTGGACACAAAACAGATATTACAGAAGATCAAAAAGTAAATATATTGAAAGAAAATGCTTAGAAAGAAGGAAATTAATTTCCTGTGATACATACATACTATTCTGCTCTTTGGAGGGATTGAAAACAAAGTAATACAAAATTTCTTGAATATGTTTGAAAGTTTTCATCAGAACTTAATTTAAAGAAAGTAAATTAGAATTAACTGGGCCAATAATTCATAGGTATGACTCCTGGCACAAGTTTGTGTACAATACTGGCACTTACTGCTGTTTTATTTTCTGTCAAATACGAAAGTTGTTAGCAATAGTTTTGATGGTTTACGTAACAGTTCTTTGTCCCTGTGGGGAGCCATGAAAAAGAAGCCATTGTTTACACTGAAGAATGCCCATGGTTGCCAGGCGACAGATGAGTCAAAGGTTGAAGGTCAAGAGGAGAACTGGATTACATCAGTGGCAGCACTTCACAATTCAGATGTTGTTGCTTCAGGTAATACTTTTTTCTCTTTTTAAAGTTTCACACTGTGTGTTTTGCTTCAGTATTAAGATATTAAGTAAACTGGCTAAAAAGCTAAATTCTGAATAAAATAATTTTATATATTTGGAGGTGGAGAAAGTTTTAGTGTGCTATCTATGAAAAGGTGAAAAAACATCGGTAAATGTAATTTTAAATTAAAACATTTGGTTAAAATTATTTAACAGAATTTATAGGTCTCTCATATATCTTACTCTATTTTGGTATTACTTTATCTTGAAATCCCCCAAATATAATGTTTCATGTTAGCTGAGATTCAAGGAAACACACATGGCAGTAAACAATAGCAATCTGATATTTGTTTTATGAGATTTGATTAAGTTTGATTAAGCTCCAGATATTGTGAGGTGTTTCACACATTGTGTATATATTCTGTATACAATATTGAAATAAAATTGACATTGTACATGTATAAAGCAGGATCCAAAGATGGCAGTGTGAGGTTATGGAAATGTTCAGCTGATTACAAAAAACTGGAGCCTATCTGTGCTATACCTATTGTAAGTTATTTAAGTAATTATTTAGTTTAACTTTTACTGAAAGTAAATTGGAATGGTGATAAAATTTATACTATTAGATCCACTTTAAATATTTTACTGGGAGAACTTTATTTTTGAGATTAATTGGATATTGAGATAAGCTTGTGATATTCATAGTAGTTGATGGCAAGTACAATCAATAGAAATTAAATTCAGAGTGGAGTATTGGCCATATCAGAAACTGTGTAATATTTAACTGTTGATCCTGAATTTCTTAAATGGACTTGACCAGCTTTCATATTTATAACTGTCCAATATCAGTTCTGGCTCTTTACTGGGGGCAGATGCTTCTAGTAATAATTACTTTCTGTTCCAGCTGGTTTAAAGTTGCATGTTGTACCCTTTCATCTGTAGCAACAATTAATGATTTGCTCTTGGCATGTTAAGGCTGCACATTGATTGGTCCAATCCAGTTTTACAATGGACTGTTCCAAATTCAAAGCAGGACTGGTCCATTAACACAAAGTCTGCAAGATGAGGGTTAAGAATTGCCATTGACTCTTTATTTAATTATCAAGACTGCTTTTATTTTATACTTACAGGTTGGGTTTGTAAACAGTTTACAGTTTTCCACTGATGGACGGTACCTTATTGCAGGTGTTGGACAAGAACACAGGCTAGGGAGATGGTGGTCTAATAAGAAAGCAAAGAATTCTATTCATGTGATACCACTTGCTACTGCTGTCAAATGATTGAAATAAAATTATGTATTGTAAATGGTAGTCTTGTTAGTTTTTAGCTCACCTGTCACAAAGTGACAGGGTGAGCTTTTGTGTCCGGCGTCGTCTCTGTCCGTAAACTTTTACTTTAAATGACATCTCCTTATAAACCACTTGGCCAATTTCATCCAAACTTCACAGGAATGTTCCTTTGGTGGTCACCTTTAAAAATTGTTCAAAGAATTTAATTCCATGCAGAACTCTGGTTGCCATGGCAACCGAAAGAAAAAACTTTAAATATCTTCTTTTAAAAAACCCTAAGAGCTAGAGCTTAGATAATTGGCATGAAACATCTTCTAGTAAGTGTCTATCAAGTTTGTTCAAATAAAAGCCCTTGGGTCAAAATTGGCCCGGCCCCAGGGGGTCATTGATTTTCCCTATATGCATATAGTAAAAACTTTGAAAATCTTCTTATAAAGAACCCAAAGATCTAGAGCTAAGATATTTAGCATGAAACATCTTCTAATGAGTGTCTACCAAGTTTGTTCAAATAAAAGCACTGGGGTCAAAATTGGCCCCGCCCCAGGGGGTCATTGATTTTGACCCTATATACATAGTAAAAACTTAAAAATCTTCTTTTAAAGAACTCAGAGCTAGAGCTTAGATTTTTAGCATGAAACATGTTCTAATGGGTGTCTACCAAGTTTGTTCAAATAAAAGCCCTGGGGTCAAAATTGGCCCCGCCCCGGGGTCATTGATTTTCTTTATAATTTTTATGTGTATAGCAAAAACTTAAAAAATCTTCTTTGAAAAAACCCAAATAGCTAGAGTTTAGATATTAAGCATGAAACATCTTCTAGTGAGTGTCTACAAAGTTTGTTCAAATAAAAGCCCTGGGGTCATAGATTTTCCTTATATGTGTATAGCAAAAACTTAAAAAATCTTCTTTGAAAATACCCAAATAGAGTTTAGATGTTAAGCATGAAACATCTTCTAGTGAGTGTCTACAAAGTTTGTTCAAATAAAGGCCCTGGGGTCAAAACTGGCCCCGCCCCAGGGGTGTCATTGTTTTTAACTATATGTGTATAGTAAAAACTTAAAAAATCTAAAAAACCCAATGAGCTAGAGCTTAGATGTTTAGCATGAAACATCTTATTGGTGACTACCAAGTTTGTTCAAATAAAAGCCCTTGGGTTAAAAGGGGGGGGGGAGGCCTATATACAGGTGGACTACCTCCGGGCCATCATGGCCCTCTTGTATTTTAAACTTGAATGTCTAAGGCCTCTATGGACATAGTACCTATATTTAAATCATTTACTCTATGCATAGCCGTGGATTGACTGGGCTCAAATCCTTCTAGTGATTTCTTGAGTGCTTTATGTGATAGAGCTATTGGGCCAGTTTTGGAAAGTTGGTGGTTCTGTTTTGTGTGTCTTTTCTTGTCTGAAATAAGACATGAAGGTGCTTTTCTACCAGTGAAATTTGAAAGTTGCCATATGACTCTAAAAGTATTGCTGTTATTTACCTTTCTGTATTTATCTATACTTAAGCATGTTACATTGTTTACTACTGTGATATATTTCTACAAAACACTTCAAATGCACTGGGGCTATTCAATATATGTGTAATGAAGCGATACCATTAGATCTATATACATTTCCTGATATATTAAACATTTAATTTACATTGCATTTATTAAAAACTCGCTAAGTATAGTTGCTAAATAAAAAGTACCTAGTCGGAAGTAAAAAAATATAAGTGAAAAATAAAATTGTATTCTTTAAATTATGGATGTAGAACTAGTGGAAATAGACCAGTTGATGAAAAGTAAAACATTGCTGCAGAAATAAGGTACACATGTACTTAAAAATTTAGTTTAAAAAATATTGCAGAATTAAGAATTTTCAGGCAGAACTTGTTGAATCATTTTTCTTAACACAATGGAATGTCAATGCACATGACTATAGCACAAGAAATATAGATTTCTCTAGATAATAGAAATCAACATAAAGACCAAGAAAAATACTTAGAAACAAGTTGTCATATAAGATTTATTACATATGTTCAATGTGAAACAATTCACTTTGTATAATGATATTCAGGATATTTTTTTTTATCTTCTATAACAATTGTACAACAAAAATGTGGTAAAATTGTAATCTCCTAAAATAGACAAGCAACTTTAAAGACAACTCGAAAGCAATGTAAAACATGTAATTACTTATGTACACGATGAAGTTCATATTGTGCATTTGTTCTGGTCTTTGAAACTCATGCAAAATTTCAAACATTGTTACATAAAAACTGAAGCAAAGATCTGACTGATAACTCTTTCAAAATATAAATGAAATATCACTGGGTATAATTACTGAATCATCAGGTTAAGAAGAAAATGAAGGATTCCAAGTGACATTTCATGAAGCAGTGGCACCTGAAAAATGGGTCATCACATACACAAATGCATAGTTGTTTTATGTCTCCTCTTTTTCATTCTATTTAAAACATCTTGCAGATCATTAAATATTTCCATAACAAAACAATCCAACCACATTGCATTTATCAATGTCCCTTTGAATATTTACACAACAGATGTTCTTTCAAAATATGATACTTCAGGAACTTGACTGATCAAACTATGTTTAGCATCAGATTCCATAGTTGACCCAATGTAATTCTCTATATATCTGTCCAATTAGCACTTTTCTTAATTCATCTTCAAGTTCAGACTAAAAGTATTCATTTTGTACATGGCAATTTCTCGTCAGATTGTCACAAATTCTTTACTAGCAATTTTTGAGACTAATGCATCAGTTAGAGGACTAACACTGAGCTCAGAGTCTGTAATTTTGTATAACTGAAAAAAATGGAAAAATCCAAAATAACATACATTATATGTGTTCATGAGGCCATCATTCATGATTGAGTACAATACTGAATTTTATTGGACGAGTACATATCTGCCAAATCTTTAACTGGACCAGGCACTGGCCAGTCCAATATATGCAGGTTTTGAAGCTGTGAATATGTCCAATAGAATTAGTATTATATTCAGTAATGTAGAATGACTTATTTTACAACCAATTTTTAACATTTTAATTAAAAAAAAGATTTTTAGTTTTGTCAATTCAATTAATGTGAAATATTATTTTTTGTTTATTCTCATTCATTTATATAGCATTTAATGCTATTTAAAAGTGACTGAAATATTTTATAAACCTCTAATCTTTTTACTTGAACTCTGATAATATTACATTTTGTAAATCTATAAATAATTCAAAATTAATTTTTTAACAGTTGTTACCTTTTTAATGAGTTTTTCATCGGTAAACTGCTTCACATCCGCTAGTGGAATGCAAGAACCTTGTATTTTTGAGTCAATGAGATTCAGTGAAGCATCATCTTTATCATTCAACACCACAACAAACACAGATGTATCACCATCACCTAGGCCAAACTTGCGAAATGAGTCTGAAATCTAAAAATATAACTTCAGTTAACTTAAAAGTGAACAATATTGATAGAACCAATGGAATATCAATGCTTGAATAATGGATCTTGGTCAGTGACCTAAATCACTGTTTATTTAAGAGTAGAGAGATTCAGATCACCAATGTTATTGAAAGAGTTCCTGCAAAATCCTAGTTACAAGCAAGTTTCTAAGTTCACAATGGGGCATAACTCGCACAAAATCTAAGTTGAAGTTGTAGAACTTTGGCAGTGGCATACAATTCAAAAGACTAATTCTGGAGATAAATTTTGTATATAAAATCTTAACCAAGTCTTGTGCAGAAAATGATGCTATAGGTAGGAATTGCAGCTGAAAATATATCATGACATCTTGGTTGAATCACAGTAGCAGTTGTCTTACTTACATTTGGACCAAATGAATACAGTTTACAATGTTCAAGTTTTATTAATTTCTAAACTCATTTATGTTGTATAATTTAAAGACTAATTTCAACACACTTGGTGAAAAAATTCCTATTAAACACTACACTATGCTTAAATGATTTGTCAACTATCAACTGGACACCAACATACAACCGATATCTACGCTTATCTACTTTGTACTTGCTTGTCCCAGTCATATGCGCTAGGTACAAGTATAAGATACATTAACGCCATCTGACATTAACAACTTTAAAATTGATGAATTAAAAAAAACCACTAAATCTTTGAAACCATATTTAATGCAGCTTATGCTCCTACATTTTTTGTTGCTGATAAGCAGAAAAGGATCTCTGAGTGAACATTCTTTGTTGTCATTTTGTCTGTTTTATATAGGTGCACTGCCCTGTTTGCAGCAACAATTACTTGAAATGGATCTGCTATCTGAAAACAAAAATAAAAGCTGTGACCTGTCAAAATATCACATTATCAAATGTATAATGATGAGAAATGATTAAAAGGTGAAAAATTAGGAAGATTTCTCGTTGAGACCAACAAAACCTGGCAACCACCAAACACAGACCACCCTGTAAATGCTTTATAGCGAGCTCGACGAGCTGGCCCGAAGGGCCTGCTCGCAAAGCGAGCTTTACGGTAACGCGAGTACCTGCTAAGTGATGGTTTTGAAAACTTTCGTCCAAAGTACCGAATTGGACACATCGCAACCTTTCTAATTTAAAGATAACGATAAAAACTGAGGAATTCTGACTGAAAACGGATGTGTAGACTGGTCACCAGCGCACGTCTATGGGAACCATAATTGGACAGGGAACCAGAATAACGGAAGCTGTGTATAAAAAATGAAAATCGAAGGCGCCATTTTGTTTGAAATCTGAAAAATAAAAACAATTTTTTGTCGAATTTATTGTGAAAACTATCTAGAATGAAAGAAAATGGTCTAACTAAGAAAATGAATCCGAACACCAATATCTTTTATTCAGTCGTTAACGCTGTACAGACGTTTAAAGTATTGTTTACGTGACGTCACAATGTAGCGCCAAACAGCACGTGCAAAACAAACAAATCAAGATCGCTATTTTAATGTCGCAAACGTTTTAAGTTTTACATTTATTTCACTTTAAATAATCTTTATTTCGCTTGAAAAATTATAGAGT